ACAGAGACTGATTAAAAGCTTAGGCTATTGTAGCCTACAGGTTTTTACAGTAAGCCTACTAACTGCTTGGAAATGTGTTTTAGCCAAGCTATATATTTTTTATTTGATCCCCAGTCTGTTACACACAGCCTGTCGCAGCCGTTAAAATAAATGCTATGAGCAGTTTGGTAGGGATAAATTTTAATATGAACGTAGGCTATTTATTTTAGGTTAGTAGGCTAGCTAGATTCACAGAGACCATGCTCATGTCCCGCCCCACCTCAGGCTATTGAGGTGAGTTTTCAGTGGCCGAAATGTTGAGATCCAGTCTTTCAACCACTATTTGAGCACATTTTATGGCATGAAAGGATTTTTCGTTTCATTGCTTTATGAAGTTAATTTAGAACAATGTTTGGAACACTTTTGAGTTCGTTCAATAAATTAATCTCATTTCTGAAGTGACGACGTTTTTTAAAGTGAGGTGGACCACTTAGGCCTATTCAGTGCCCGAGTCTTTGAATGTGGAAACGCCGACACACTGAGCTGAAAGAATAAGGCTGATATTTTCATACAGCTCATAAGAACGCATCAAAACAACGCATTAACCTATTATAGACAAGGCTGTTCATTTAGGCATTCACACTGTCGGCAATTTTCTGTCTCCCTGCATGTGTCAGCTGCAGCCGTGCTTCTTAGACCATGTCATATTTCTGTAGCATTACAGTTTGCTCTTTGTTTGTAAAATATGACGCTCTGATGTCAGTGGGCTTGTTCATGATTGCGATTGGTCATCTGCTGCTAAAACCTAAGCATCTTTTATGTGAACGCGCTCGTGTCTGGATTGGGAAACCCTGGGTTGAGTTACCGAGTTGATAACAAGCTTCGTGGTAGGCCTACCACTTATCCCGACCGCGACTGTTAGGGTTAGTGAAGAGATAACGAAAAGATATCCTGGGTATGTTGAACTCGCTTCGTGGTACAGGCCCCAGGGCTTTAATGCTGGGCGATATGGCCCAAAACAATGTTAATGAGTATATTTTCCAATACTGATGTGATCACAGCACGGCAAACAACACCATATAAAAATGTTATAATTTTTCATGAGAACAAATCTTTCACATGTGTAACATCAAAAACTTTAAAAAGTAGACTAACTGTTTTTATCTTGCTCAGAATTTGGACAAGACTGTGTGACAATAACATGATAGGGACATATCATCCCTAGATGATTCTTCTGAAAGTTAATAAATGATGATATTGAATTACAGACCAGCCCTTTCTGTAGTTCCAAAATGCAATGACAATATTTCTTTATTTGAGCAGAAAACTCCTATTTTGTAAACTGGACCTCTGAGGAGAGCAATATACTTTAGAAATCCTGTTTTTCAAACAATATACAAAAGTGGTGAAAGACAAACAGGAGTAGGACGATTGTGCACAGGGTCAACTGAAGCGTGTCTCATGAATCTCCTCTGCCTGTCTGCAATTTTTTCCAAAATGTTTGTTTGATAGCTTAACATGTGTTATTTGATGCTGCCAAGTTTAATTGTAGATGGATGCAACAACATAGATGACATGGGCATAACCATGCTTTGGGAGGGTCATGCCCTTTCTGAAGGGGGAAGTTAATATATACTCTCTTCAAAGCCACGAAACTCCTTTGACAAAAACTGTCATTTTACCTCACAGAACACGGGAGTTGCTTGTCTACTGCTATCGGTTAGTTAACATGTTAGTTTGTATCCGAGCTAACCCTTTAAAGCACCAAAGTCGCACAGTAACACAAACAAACTAACCGATCATCAAGAACAGCCATTGTTCTTATGGTAGAATAATGGTATCTGGTCACAATGCAGGCAGTACAGAGAGACAGTGAGAGGGAGCGGCATACTGGAAGTATCCAAGCAGGAACTCATGCTCTGGAGAGACGATCAGGTGAGACACTGGAATGCCAGACTAAACAGCTTGAACAGTTTTGACTTAGGCCTTCGTGTCAGCAGTAAATAAAACTACTAGTAATAAAAGCAGAATATTCAAACTTCTGGGGGAGGACTCTCATTTGGACCCCCAACGTCTATACCATGGTTACACCACAGGAAGATGAATCTTGTAATAACAAGACTCTAAAAAGAGCTTCTCAGATCACACAACTCCAATACACACCAAATTCCTGCCAAGACTTCCTGGCAGGGTATACATCCCCACAACATTTGGTTATGAAATCACAATATTATATAATAACATTCACAGACTGGCAACATGTAAACACAGATCTACACCTTAAAGCAGTGGTTCTCAAACTTTTTCATATCAGGGACCCCTAAACTGACACGAATTAGACCACGGACCCCCAATTGATAGGAGTTTTGCTTTTAGATGTTTTATTACAGAAAGTATATGAAACCCATGACCAAAATAGTCAGACAATCTGTCACTGTGCTACTTATGAACAGCATTATAACAAAAATAAAGTATTCCACTTTTAGTTAGTGACCCCCCTGAACCCCCTCAAGGATCCCTGGGTGTCCCCAGACCCCACTTTGACAACCACAATTTAGGCAAAAATGTGAAAAAGATAAAGATCTATGGGTTTGACTTACATACATCCACAAGCAGTAGCCTATAGTGAGCTTGTAAGTAAACCTATATATAGCCTACAAGAGGAGGTCAACACTGATACCTGTTTTCATGCTTTCATCCAATGGACTTTAACAACAGCCCCTTCCCACTCAACAAACAAACAAACAAACAAATCTGACACTGCCCTACCCACCTCCTCCCCCTTACACATGAACCCAGTAACCTCAATAACCACCGTAAAGCCTAAAGGCTTTTAAAGGGGCGACAGCTTCTAAGTTACCACCAATGAAAAGTTCAGCACAGCCGCCATTGTGACATTATTACAACGACATTATTATATATATATAATGCCACACATGAGGCCAGCAACAAATGACATGTTGTGACTCATTACAGTATGATTACAGAACGGGAGCATTTATAAATCCTGGCACTAGCAAGACTTTGAGGCCAGAAGTGAGCTAACGTACCGTTTTAAATGTTCCTGTGCAACTTGAACTAAAAGTTTGCTGGCAAGTGTATTAGCTAATATAATACTTGTTATCAAAGCAATGCAAGCGAGTCAGAGCCACATTATGAGCTGAAGCGTGCTGCTAACTCGCTAAACTGCAATCCCGACTTACAGCAGCAGACATGTCATTTAGCTAACATACACACTACTGACCGACCGTGTGGACATGCAAAGCATCCAGCTAAAACTAAATACATATCCACAGGACTATAACAATTGTAATTAAATATAATTTGTTTACATTCACTCCTGCCTCTGATTGGTGCCGTGGGCGAGGTGGTTAGCTAACTTAGCCCACACAAACTCGACTAACGACACCTCAAATCTTCTGTCTTCTGGTGGAATATTTACCTTTTTGGCCCCACGTGTGTTTCAGCTTCAATATCAAAAAAAATAAATTCTAGCGGACTGATCGCCGGACGGTACTGGAACTATTTCATTTTTAATTATGTCCCGGTCACGTAGATAACCCGTCATCCACTCCGAAGCGCTTGACACATTTCTGCAACGTGAGGCCGGTACACTATAGCCCCGCCCACTCCATCATGATTGGACAGGCTCGTGTTGTGTGCATAGTGTGATTGGATAACGTGCCTGGCAGTGGGTGTGCCTCAACGCAAAAGCTTGCTGGCGGTTCACGTGGATCTGCATGTTACACAACAGAGAGACAACAACCCCGGTGCAGACTGCGCAAGCGCCGCTCGTTGCAAGCCCACTGCATCCACCCTGCTGCTGAATGAAAGAGCAGGGTCGATGTATCTGACACAACGCAAACATCTTGATCCAGATGTTACTTGTTTCTTGAATTGTTGTTATTTCTTTTACATATTAGCAATATGATTTTGTTGAATCAAATGGTTAGAATCACAAGGAGATAGTCATAATGAACTGCTTTGATAATCGATTACTAGTTTCAGTCATTTTTAAAGCAAGCGTGCCAAACCCTTACTGGTTTCCGGCTTCTCAAATGTGAATATCCGCTGGTAAACCTTGGCTTGTGATAGTTAACTCAATATCTTCAGAGCATTGGTCAGACAAAAAAACAATTTGAAGACCACCCTTTGGATGCTCAGAAATTGTGACATTTTTCACTATTTTCTGACATTTTATAAGCCAAACTATAAGGGGATTGATTGAAAAAAGTTTTAAAATCTGGTCTTTAAGAACATATATTTCATTTTAACTACTAAAAGTCGTTTTTCATACAGTGATGTCTGTTATGTCTGACATACATAGTAATAGAGCAGGCAAGGCTGGATTACTAACTGGACAAAGCAGGCAAGTGCCCCAGGGTCCCGCACCCTCAGGTGGGCCAAAGGCTCCAGGTGCACCATGTGGTGCTTGTGGTGATTAGATTGCAATATGGGGTCAGTTGGGGCCCACTTTACTCAAAACGGCGATCAAACACTAAAAGGAACCTTTGACTAATTCATTGTTGCTCAGGGTCCACCTAGAGGGTCAATCCATCCCTGAGTGCAGGAATTGTACATTGATGCAAGAATACATGGCAGGAGACTTTCCTGCTGTACATTTGTTGGGGCTGGGTCTCATGAGGCAGATTGATAAACTGTTCGAAGGCTACTGAGGTAAACTGGTGGTGTTGGTAATTGGTAAACAGACCACACCACTTTTCTCTATGGAAAACTCTTACCAATGAAATGAACATTATCTGACAATTTTCTTCAATCTTTCTGGTGTCAGTGACAGTAAGTCAGCTGCTCAGCATCGTGGACGACCCACTGGATCATTGAATCGTTGTATTAGTGAGGAAGTACGGCTATATCACACTCCAACAGAGGAATCAACAACGACACAACTATCTGAGGCTGGACCAGGACCAAGAGCTCCCTCAGTTGCTTTTGAGAAGAGTAAACATTCACATTTATTCGGTCAAGGATGAGGGGGGGAAAAATCAGATGAAGCTTTGCAATTTAAGTTAAATCTGTTTTATTCAAGCAAAAGGCATAGGGCCAAAGAGTAGAATGGCACTTATTTTCAAATAAATTCCCAAGTAGTTAGACATGAGCAAGGCTTGGACGTTACTGGGTCTGAGATTTCTGATGTAGACGGGAGAGGATGATGACAATTCAGTACATATGTGATTTGGCTGGTAAAAGCATTTTCGTAAGCCTTTGAAAATAGTCTTGTCCTTAGTGGCTAAATATGGCTATATATTATAATAATGTCTAACAGCCAACACTTGTGTTAGTGTTCATTTCAATCACCATAGTATTGTACATGCACTGCGAAGGATGAACAGTACTGAAAAATACACCAGTCACAGCTCTACTTGCAGTAATACAATTCCAGACAGTGAAATTAATGTACAAAGTAATTCCAAATTGTTTCTCATTAAAACACATTTATTTTAACAGGATGGAAGCAACAGCAGGGAATGCAATCATCCGGTGTTGGAACAGGATATATAATGACACTGTCATTACCGAACAAATTTTTCTTCTACACTCAAACATGCATGGTGCTCAACAGCCATGAACACCTACACAAAAAAAATCTATAAAGTCTCCCTAAAGGTTAGTACTACATATAATAGATAGCAAAAAAGCTATAGTTAGAATAAAAATAAAATATCACACGTGAGAAGCACTTCGCATTGATCAGCTGGGATAAATGCCAGTGTGACTGAACAGAAGACTTCATTAAAGGTTATTACGTTCAGCTGAATTAGCAAGCAGCAGAGTATTTGTTTGGACAGTGAGAGCATTCAGAAGGCACAACTCCTTTACTGGATGGTGTGTGTATGTATATATATATATGTATATATGTATGTATGTATGATCAATAAGGCGTGGCTATACTTTGGCTGTTCTCCATTGGAGAAACCTATAAAAAGGCATCTGTCCACTACAACTATTTTCTTACTTTTTTGCACTTGAATATTTCACAAACTTTCTGGCACATCATTGAGACTGTTCACCACTTTTAACCCAGTGTAGCACTTTTTTTTTTATGTTCTTTTTAAAAACGCGTCAGTTTCTCTAGCCTTGCCTAGCTGTGAGGCGGTTTGTCTTGGCATATAGGCACTTCTCTTAACACAAGCCCACACTAGCTTTTACTCTAAGATCTACTTGAAAAGAAGATGCACATAGACACGGTATGATAAGGTGGGTCAACAGTGTGTTGCTGGTTAGCTTTTTGTTTTTTGGGGGCAGGGGTATCAATGAAATTCCTGATTAATCAATCAAATAATCAAATGTCTTAAACAGAGAACTCAATTAGCACTCTACCATGTGCATAAATAGAATAAGGCATTGGATCCCGTCATTCCATGGTTAACTTTAACAATTCATGATCATGATAATGATAGACCAGAAAAATATAAATATTGGCACTTTAAGTACAAATGTGTACTGTACATGGAAAGGGGCATCACTTCAATGGGTTGGCTGGGTTATGGTTACAATCTAAACTAAAACAGAACAGCATATTTTCAAAGGCACTTTTCTTAGCCTGGCACACAAAATCAATGGCTATTTATAAAATATAAAAAACAGTAAATATCAGTTAAGGAGAGTTTACAACAATATTCTTCACTTCAAGTCCTGAGTTTGGAGTGTGTGTGTGTGTGTGTGAGAGAGATTGTGCTTTGTGAAACAGTTGAAGATGATTCATTTTTACTTTTTTTAGAGGTTATAGATGAGTTGGAGTTTAATGAACAACCGGTTTCTGCATGTATGCGTCTGTTTTATTTGGGAAGTGGCATGGCACTCTAACAGAAGTTTAGTGATGTCTGGTATGGTGTAGTAATGCAGGGTAAGAACTCTGGTATTATCACAATCCTTTACTCAGGCACACGTGAAAACACACACACACACACACACACGTCAAACCAGGACAAAGAATGAAGACAAGGGGAACAATGTTATGGAGCTCAGTAGCCAGTAATCCCGTCACGTCTTCCTCCGAGACATTAACTGTGCATGGTTGCTCCTTCTCTCCTCTTCTTCATCGTTTCCTCCACTCCTCCTCCTCTTGTTGCGGTTTTACGAGTAATTCCAAACTGCAAATGGAGTAGGTAGGAACTTTTTAGATGAAAAACGTATATCAAAAGCAACAACCCAGATCAAACACAAAATCTCTGTCAAGTCATTATATACAGATGGTTACACTTTCTGTTAAGGGCTATGAGCAGTCACCCATTGATCATTGGAAGTAACACAAACTACAACAATAAACCCTGTTGATAACAAACTCCTCTAGCCACAAGCTTGATACTCACTAATAATGATGACGATGATGATCAATATGACAGCTATCAGGATAGCCCACATCTGCAAGGGGTAAAAATGCGCAGCAAATTCAGAGCCACACACATTGATTGTCTATTGACAGAAAAGTCTGTTATCATTTCTAAGACTTATTCTTTTTGTTTAAGAATATCATTTTTTGCATGTTTGTACAAGGTACATGTATATTCTGTGTGGGGTATAGTCTAACTATTTATCTTTGATGCTGCTAAAATTAAACTACTCATTGGGTGTACATGAAAAACCAATATAATTCAGACCACTTCCAGCCTAGAGACTTCTAGTAAGGAGTTCATGTTAGATCAGTTAGAGTTTTTTCATTTACAGTGGAGGTAAAAGGAGTGTGTTTTTTGGACCAAACTGTGTTTAGGCACCTTGCAGTTCTTCCACCAGTACTTCCTTTTCAGCTTAGCAGCACTGGTCTCAAACTGGGAGGCTCCAGCCTGCAGTGCGTCTGCTCTGTCATCCAGTTCAGACAGCTTCTGGTCACGTTCCAGTACTTTGTCTACATTAACGCGCATTATATCCACCACCTACTCACACACACAAAAACAAAACATGTGGTTTAATGTCAGTACTTTTTAAAATGTCTGTCCATTGGTGTACTGGATCTTAAATGTTGGGTAATCCCGACTAGACCTCATTGAAGATCAACCAAATGCTGCCTTAATTAGTTCATTCAGAATAATAGAGCGCAGAGAAAAAGACTGGAAACACACCAATGCACTTTACAGAATGACGACATCAATGCTTTAAGTAGTAACCACTAATAATGTTACATAACAAAACAACCAATCAGAGAGATAACACCTTACAATGTAACAAAACATTAACACAGTTCACCTAAAATCAGACAGACATGTATGTGCTTACAACACTTTACCACCAAATACACATAACCCATATGTTCCACTGATCCACAAACCCCACGACTGCCCCTACCCTCAGACAGAGCGGCAGGGTGGAGAGGAGTGTGTTGGTCCACGCAGGCATTACATAACCATGGAGACAGTGATTATATAAACTTCTGACAGCCAATTGGAGGCTTTGTATGACAAGCAAAGGTTGTGTGTGGGAGGGGCTAATATCAGGGAGGCCACAACTGAGAAAGAAAAAGGGAGAACAGTAAAGGGGAATTAAGAGCAAAAGCACAGGAGTAAAACCTGGCAGCCACTTTTTCCTCTTGGCCTCAATGACATAGTTTTGAATATAATTTATAAAAAGTGGAGATGATATGGCTTTGGTTGAATGTTCTCTGTGGAGTTAGAGCATTTGAGAGCTACTGATTCCACATTATGGTGATTTATGACACTGCCGCCAAGGTTTATGTAAGTCTCTGCTTGAGACCGACGTCAAGGAAGAACGGAGTCATAGATCGACTGAAGAGAGAGGGAGGGGAAAGGTAGTAACCTGAACTGGAAGGTGAAGAAGTTGTACAAATAAACACGCCCTGACTAAATTTGCATGATTTGAAAATGAAGGATAATAAGAGTCCGCTGACTTCCTAAACCAACACGTGACTTAGACATGGGGCAGAGTTAAATGGTCTCTTACGTGGAAGCCTTCTTTTGTTCATAATAGTAAGGCATTCATCATTTGTGATGGTTATAAATGTATTTTCTGAAATTATCAACATCAACCAGTGTGAAAATATAGGTTTGGGGCTTTAACTCGACCTCGTCAGCCAGTAATCAGATACATATCATACCTCATCAACCTGGGCTTGCGTCTGCTGCAAGCGTCTGTTGCCTGACGCTGCGCCAGAACCTTCTGGATTGACAGCTGACCTGGTGAAACGAAGAAAATTAAGTGTAGATATTAGCCTTCCGTGAGATTTTAGAAAAAAGTATATTCACGATAACATTGATATATTTATATTTTCCGTAACATTAGGGGTGTGTGATATATATCGTCTGCAGTATTATCTTAATTGTTGTTTTAATGATGTGTGAGTCGACATTATCGAGTACGCTACATCACTCTCTTTGCAAAGTGAGCAGTAACCACGTTATGGGTCATGCATGCAGTACAACTGTGTTAAACAAGCGGGAAGCTTCTGGTCAGAAATCTGATGTGAATGCAGAAGAAACCTGCTTTCTATTGAACGGCCAGCAGGGGACGACTCTTCTGGTTGCAAAAAGAAGTCTGGCTCCATTAGAAATAATGGTAAAATGACCCTACTTCTCACCTGAATAATTACCTCAGTAAACACTTTCCTGATGAGTTTATGGTCTCAATCGCTTGTTTCTTGTCTTCTTCAATACAAAATGATGTTCATTTAGTAGGGGTGGGGGGAAAAAAATAAAAAAATCTTTGCCATGGCAATACTGTATCGATATTTTATTACATAAATTGCAGATGGGACTTTTAATTTTTTGGTACTAGAATAATGAAGTCTATTTCTTTTTAGGCCACTAGAAAACTTAACAGGACCATATAGAAGACTGAAAAAGTGATATGAACAAACAGAGAAATGTATCTTTTTAGATAAACAGATGTTGACAAAGTTTGACTTTAGGGACCTAATTGGAAGTTGGAAAAAGGTAATAAATTGCAATATATTTAAAATCGCAATGAAATCGAATCGCAACATAAATATCGTGATAATATTGTATCGTGGGGCCTCTGGTGATTCCCACCCCTAGTATATAATGGTGCCATTTTAAAAAAAATAGACCATAAAGCAGAGTATGTTTCAGGGCGGGATTATCTATGATTGAAAAGTCATTACCATGGCGACCTGTCAATCGGGCTAGAGGCGATTTGTACCCACGGCACTGTGTAAATTTAACCAGCACCGTTGAAAAAGCTTATTAAGAGTTGGATTTTCACTTTCTCTGGTGAATACATTTAGTTTTAAGACTGTTGTTTGCTAGACAAAGTTATCAGCCCTGTTAAAATGACAGTTAACGTGAATTACAGACACCTAGCTAAGCTAGCTAGTGCTGCACATGGCCGTTAGCTCAACCGTCTCGTCCAAATATGGTCACGTCCGGTGCCGCTGGTTGCAAAAACTCAACATGGCATCGAGGCTTCAAAACCGCAGTCCACAAAAACAACGTGTGACATCACGATGACTACGTCCATTTCTTATATACAGTCTATGGTGTTAAACAAGCAATAGCTGCTAAAAAAAATCTTGACTTAAGTTGTGTACAACAGGGATGGAAATTAACCCCCGCCAAAAGCCGGTGGATTTGCCATTTGCCGGCCAAATGCTGGAAGGCTACTCGCCACAAGATGGGTAATTACACTGAACAAAATTTAAAAAAGCAACACTTTTATTTTTGCCCATCATCATGGGCTGAACTCAAAGATCTAGGACTTTCTCCATGTATGCAAAAGACCTATTTCTCTCAAATACTGTTCACAAATATGTCAATCTGTGTTAGTAAGCACTTCTCCTTTGCCGAGATAATCCATCCACCTCACTGGTGTGGCATTTCAAGATGCTGATCAGACAGCATGGTTACTGCACAGGTGTACCTTAGACTGGCCACAATAAATGGGGGAGCGGGTGTGTTGCGGTTCGATCTCTGGGAACCGCGACACGAGACCGTGGACTTTTGTGTCGCCGTTTGGGTCACCGTTCATGACCATTACAGCCCTAAATTAGTGACAGAACCAGATGCTAACCCTCTTCAATCTTTCTCACCCCTACTTACAATGTAATGTTCATGTCTGTATGGTGACTGAAATATGATTCCAAGAACAATCTAATGAGCTCTGAGGATGGATAATGTGAGAATGAGGATTCAAAGCAAGATTACCCTGTATGGCGATATAGGATGCCCTAAGAGTCGCTGCAGGATTTATGCTTTACATCAATGCTTTATGCTGAAATAGAGTATATAGCTGGGTAAAAAAATCCATGGGAACATTAAGTCATGCACTCATCTCCCATCTCAAACGGCAAGCATGTCTCTGAATTCTTATTTCTAAAGTTTGTTACTTCATAACAACTTGGGAAAACTGAAACCAGAAAATAATATTGTTTGTAATATTAAAAGACAGCCAGGAGAGCTGTAGATGAATCACTATATTATTTTTATGTTATTGTACACTGCAAGCAGGCACACCCATATATACTAAAACAAAACATTACTGTGTTCAAAACATCCCTTGTGACAAACAAAGCTGTCAAGTAAAGTGGCAGATAAACACATGCTCATTGCATGCAATTCAAAATATCAGATTCATATTAAATCAAAGTAGGGCTGAATGATTTTGGAAAATAATCTGTGATTTTTTTTAACCAATATTGCGATTTAATATGGGATTTATTTTTAAGCTCTTTACCTTCTGTATTATTCAAAATGGACAAGCAGTAAATCAGTGTATAGTATGACCAACACAATAGATCATATCTCAGGAGTCCATCTTTCTGTATCCCAAATAGCAAACAAAAAATACTCAGTCTGAGGTTCAATTCAAAAGTTGGCCAACGAAAATTAAACCAAGTGACGCCTCTAGTGTTTAATAGACAAGCTTCGAAATTCTCCGACAACACCTGAGTTCCCCACCCCGCAGCTTCCGATGCTGGTCAGCAGCGCACCGGCAGTAACTCGGGACAGACTGGGCCTCTTTCGGACTTGTGAGTTTGGTTTGAAACACAGTTTCACAGATATTTCCTGAGCTGACTGGTGGCTGTGTGTGTGACGCAGGCATTGATCGCCACAATACGCTTACCTTCCTAAACTGTCTTTCTGTTGTGCATTTTTCCTGTCCGTCAAAGCCGCGGATGGCCCGACGATTTCACCACCACCAAGTTACCCGTGGGTGGCGGGTGCTACTTTCATTCCCTGTATGACACTAAAGTTTATGTAGTGTCAGCTTCTGTCAAGCCATGAAGGCCATTGTACAACAAGAAGGCAAGGTACAGCATAACGTGCAGACGAAACGCCAACTTCGTCTGCAGACAGCTTTACTCTTGGGTGTCATGTGACCAGAGCCTTCGCGATTAGAAAATCTTGTTGTATTAGATCGCAATAATATCGCAAATTAGGGCTGGACAATAAAACAAAAACAATAATTATCGCATTATAATTTTTTTCAATAACAATATAACAAATGTTAAATAAATATTCAATAAGTGTTTTATTTTATTCACTTAAATAACACACGAATTAGGACTTAATTTTTTTATTCAGATGTTTATTTTGTTGAGAAAAAGGGACTGAAAAAAGCTTTTACTTGATTTTACTCATGCATATTTGTTGGCAAAGATTTTATCATAAATGTTTTGAGTGTTCTACCTCAGATCTGTTAAGCGATCCACTGTTGTCATTATTGTGATAATTATCGATATCGAAAGATATGAAACTTTTTATCGTGATAACATTTTTGGCCACATCGTCCAGCCCTATTGCAAATGCAATTAATCTTTCAGCCCTAAATCAAAGTATGGAACAAAAGCGAGAGCTAAAAATGGGCCAAAGAACATGAAGGTAAGCAGGGCAAATTGATCTCTTAACATATAAATGCAGACTAGATCTGCCGTGCACAAACTCTCACACGAGCCTGACAAATCAAATAATCGCCTAAATTACACAGACCTAAAGATTTCTCCTGGTATTACAAAGAGAGGACCCTTCTTAGTTTCCAGATTACACCAATGGGAATAAAATGTGCTTATAGACATACTGTATATTACACTTGTTTTTGTTGTAGCCTGAAAAGGGTTAGGGTTAGGGTTAGGGTTGTGCCTTTTGAGCCAGGTCATAACATACTCGAGACATAATAGTCACTGGGTACAGACAGATGAGGAAGAATAGTGCAGCAGCAGCAACTGTCACATTTCCGTATTTTCAAGCCAAGTCCTACTTCCTCCACTCTCTCCAAAATCCCAGTGAATTTACAACTCCAAGCCTTACTTTGGCTAGAAAAACTATCAAGAAGCCAAACTAGAGAAACATACCACATATCAGGGAGCACACCACTAGGGTTTTGGCTTAGCATCGATATGTCAATAATCCTGATGTACAATGCAGCTCTGTAACTGGATTTTATTATTAATTCAAAAAAATAAAAATAAACCAACAGTCTCTTTTTCCAGCTGGATCAGAGAAAACATAACATGGCCAAGCAGACCTCTGACTTACTAGGCACTTGGGCAAGTAGAAAACATTAAATGTTAAACATCATACATCTAACCATTAGGACTGCAACAGCTGAATAATTGTATTATTGATGAATCTCCAAAATTTTTAGATAAATTGTTTGATCTATAGAATGTCAGGAAATAGCACGACCAGGGTTTTTCCTGCATAGAGATTTACAAGGCGCCAGCCTCCGTCAAATTTCATTCTGCCTTCAGCTCTCAACAAAACTCTGGTGTCTTTGTGGTAAACACCATTTTCGAGCATTGCACTTGGTGGATTTCTGTCAGACGTTAACTGCAATAGCGGCATTATTCTGATGTGGTGACCCTGTATAAACACAGCGCAAAGACGCTACCAAGTGTTTGGCTGGACTGCAGCAAATCCGCCTTTTCCTGCCGTTGGGTGTTTTAATATATATTTCCCACTTTATTGAATACAAAAGTTTTGTAGAGATCTCTACAACATATTAGGTCATAATAAGGCTGTACAATATGACTAAAATCTCACATCCCGATATAGGTAATTTCATATCCCAATAAAGATACAAATCCCGATATAGAAGATTTTTTGTATATTCAATGTATCATGATTTCCTGTAACTTGTGATATTTTACTTGAAATTAGGGAATATCCGCAAACTGGCTGTTTTCATCATACAATTGCCTAGTTTCCATTACCAGTACCAGCTCAACTCGACTTGGCCGTGCTGGTCGTCACAGCGACGCCACACACAACTGCCGTGACATAATGTTCAATGCCACACACACACCAGCGACCCACGCACAACTGTCTCTTGATTTAAGTTAAACTGAAGCGCCGTCCCCTCGTGGAAATAACTACGGTAAAGTGTGGAATTTGCAATACAACAGAATAAACGATAGAGCATAATTGTAAACGATAGACGTTTTTCTATCATATCGCTCAACCCTAGTTCATTACCATCCCTACATCTAAGAACATGACTGCCACATATACTGATAAAAGCAAACAATTTGAATTAGTAAGTAAAATAAACAAAATACGCTATAAAAATGATACTGTGTTCAAAAAAGTGTATTGTAAAAAAGGTATGGGAGGGCATTACTTCAAATACAATTACTTTTTAATACATATTTAAATGCTTCAAAAACACGAGGAGACCTACATTTGTGTAACTAATACTTTGCCAGCAGAATCAAATTGTTTTAGACGGCATTCAGTATATCAGCACTTCAGGTCATGACCTCAGTCTCAAATATTACCGGGACTGCTTGATGCACGTGATAATAGTAATTTTCTTCAATCATACAATTATTATATCTCTTAAAATATGTTGCTTGTAAAAAGTGTTTTCTTGATCCAGTTGAAGGTACACATGCCCGGCGTCAGCGTGTGTTCACAGGATCAGCGTGGTACCACCTCTGCCTCATTTTGAGTCAGGAAAAACTCTGGGCAACATCTCAAAATCTGTTAATTTGTCAGAGCAACAGTCCAAAACCCAAAGATATTCAGTTTATTCTCTTTGAACACTAACAACAATCCCATTTAAGAAACTTAAAACTGTAGATTTATGCTCTCGTTACACAATAAATGACTTTAAATTATTATCCAAGTCTGAAAACTGTTAATTTTCTGTCAATCAACTAATCAGTTAGTAACTACCTGCCTGTTTATGTAAACACACCTAATAATTTGTTTATGCAGCAATGTCACCATGTAGATATGTAAATGTAGCCCTGCAGCTTGTATGTTTTTTTTAATCAAAACTGACTTTCTGTAGAATTTCTATTCTTTATGAGTGACCACATCTTCTCTTGACCTTTCACACATCAGACATTCAGAATTTTAGTAGCACAAAAGGCTATTTGTCTATCCTGGCAGTTTCTCTGCTGCAGATATTGAAAAGCGAACAAAATTAGGTCATGTGTCATGTAAAGTGTACTGTGACTATCATGTGCATCATAATGAACCATATCACCTAAAGCGGAGCAATGTCAAACGTGACTTCGCAAAGAAATCATGATATTAATCATTCATTTAGCGGACGCTTTTATCCAAAGCAACTTACAATTCATATATATATATATATATATATATATATATATATATACATATACATATATACACACACACACACCTCTGGAACTAGGGGTTAAATGTCTTGCTCAGGAACACATTGGTGTGTCACATCAACTGCGCCACCACCACCCCTATATGATGAACTGAGCCTAACAATTACTATGCAAAATAACTTTGGAACATCGAGGCTCTTAGTTTGCACTTTTTGAACTAGCTACATTTATTTTATTAAGACAGACTGTGGGTGTTAAGTAGAGCAGCAGGGGTTGTAGCCAATTCAGTGGTCTGTCCACTGAACATCAGGATGAAGGGGGAGGTTAATGGGAATAGGAATACAATAAGATCTGGCTAGCGCTAAATTCCAATTGTAACGCGTGTGACCAAAGTTCAATAAAAAATAAAACATCACTCGTCATGCTTAGACCATTTTAATTATGATCTTATCTATTTAATTATTGACTACAAACAATAGATAAGTTCGCCATCAATCCATTTCCTGTTTTAAAATAGACGTTACTACTACTAGTCGTTTCCAATTCCAGTTGCAATATTTACCACTACCGATTAGCTGAACTAATTACTGTTTTCAGCTTGTTTGTTAGACACTTAACTTAGGTAACGTTAAGTTAGTTGCTAGATCAACCAAACCAAAAACCAGGATCCGGGGAGGCTCGCTTGTGACCATTAACGTTACGTTAGACAAAATAAACGTAGCATAAACCTCATTGTCCCAGATTAATATTTACGCGTCTGTGGACGTTTCACAAGCCTGTCGTGTATGTTTTCTTTTAACTGTCTACCTAACCAGCAAATGTACGTTGACATAGTTTGCGTTAGGCAAAGTTACACAGCTCTAATGTATCGCTGCGACAGCTAAGTTAGCTTAGCTTAAATCTCGACCACTAACGTCCTAGCACTTGTTGCATGCTAGTAGTAGCAAAGTTTTGGGCGTTGCATTTTTTCCTGTGATCCTGTTTCACCTAACTTCCCGGAAGACCGATATGTTAGAAAAGTTCGACAGTTCGTGATTTTTAAAGACTTTTGGTAGAAACATAATATACTTACATTGTGAAAGGAAATTTCTTTGAACGACACCACCGCTCTTTCTTGTCTGTAAGCTAAAGCTAAAGTGTCAAGTCGTAACAGTTACTGCCGTCGGTTGTTATGCTGCTTTCCGGTGTTATCGGAAAACGGGAAACTTGAGACTTATGCAAACGAAAGATAATGAATGTACTAAGTAACACCAGAATGTGGACGTTTTGTTTTCTACTAGATATACAATGCTAATTGGCATTAAGATTATGTAGTGCACAGACTATCTTTTATCACAATTAATATAAAACCCTAAATTTAAAGCCATGTTTTTCACTTTGCATTATTCCTTATTCACTGTGTAATAATGCACAAAGTGAATCTGAGCTACTTTATAACCGAAATAACACATTATCCAAAAACCGTGTCATATGATATGGTACATTTTGCTTTCAAATTAGAAAGCTCGTATTTATTACTTAGAATGTAAACGTTTGAGTTAAAGATTAGCACTTGAAGGCAACATTAAAGAGGCCGTATCCCTTATAGCTTTTTGGCATAAAGTATAAACGCACACTATTAGATTATAAGATTATAACAAGGCAGCCCATACTTGAAAATATGGCAAGATTTTACGTTAATCCTTAATATAGAAAAGTACGCCTCAGATTTGTGTATTTACACCCTTGATTCATTGGTCACTGTCCAGTAGATATGCGAGGAGAACGGGACCAGCAAAGTCTGGGATCAGATGTATTTCACATCTTCAAATCAATAAAATATTTGAAGTTGTCCATATGGACAAAAGTAATATCTGCAGATTTAGTTCTTTATATGTGAAATACTTGGAGCACGAAACTGGTCTTTGTTGATACAACTAAATTATCAATAGAAACTACAGTTCACAAATGAATTAAATGCTACAGGCTACAGGTCCAGGCACGAGCTTTGCTGTTTTTCTTCTTAGTCAGTGAGTTTTTTTCTACTAAAGTGATTATTCAGTGTGTTAACTGAGCCAGTACTTATTCCCCGGATTGTTTTAACAAGTAGACGGACTGATTGCAACTAATTATATAATCACAACAACAATAACAAAGCATACAAGACACATAGGTCCAAATTGCAGAGGACTATACACAGGCTTGTTTACAACCCTCTGAAATGTTAAACTTCCAAGAGCTAAATGATAGCTTTTCTATGCTGTATAGGATTAGCAGGTAATTACAAAATGATTCAAATGTGTTATGAGCTGTGTGTTTTGGAGCACCTGATGGTAACATTGAAGAGTAGCCGATATGACCCTTTGGTGACAGCTACTTTGTCTGACATTCATCTTTATTCAGTAAAGCAAATAATCCTGTCATATATCAGATTGTGTATAGGTGAGTGGATAAACGTGTATCACAAGGTAACCAATAAAAAGCAAGCTTGAATATCATGAAAACACCAAATGAGGGAATGTCTTTTGGAAGAATGGTGTACATCCGTCCCTCCACTTTGAAAGAGCACTGAAGCTGTTCAGGTGGCTCATGGTGGACTATCATCTTAGATACATGATACTACAATAGTTTTACACTCACTATTTGTCATCCGTCTGTATCTGCCATGTACTACAAAATGAACATACATGCATATCATATACATTTATTACAATGTTCGTGTAGAGAATGGTTAGTTTGCACTTAATATGTGAACATAATCTTCATGGTAGGTCATATATATATATATATATATATATATATATATATATATATATATATATATATATATATGTTAGCTATAGTATACTATAAAAGTAAACTACCATTGGTGTACTTTTTAAACTCATAAAATTAGAATGGTTGGTATATTGGAACAGTGTTTACATGATATTGTTATTTGTATTTTCTAACATACAGGCTGCCGATACTTTTTTCTCTTTCCAACTCAGTAACAAGTCACAGTTACTGAGTTGTGACAAATAACAGTATGAAGTTAAATCAATAACAACTGGAGGTAACAAATACAACATAACATGTTCTTCACCAACATTATTTTAATGTTTAACATAAAGGAAAGTAAATTCGGCATGCAAATGAATCCTTGAAACAAATCATCTTAATTGTATGAATCCTTTGTTAAAAGGTTCATCTTGGTGATTATACTTTATATTTATAATGTATTGCTGGTTGACAGCAGCATTGTCGTCTTGTGCTCTCCCTCTTGGTTACATCCCAGATCCTTCATCCACCACAGACTCACCTCCAGGGCTCTGCTACAAGACAAACGTTTTTTTATAGGCTTTGTTGTTGTGGCTTAATTTATATTTTATTAATAATTTCTAGTGTAATGGGACTTTAATTTATTTAAAAACAACATAATGAAGTTATGATTCAATACCAAACTTACATAGTTTCTTTCCTTCTGAGCAGCACCTCCGTTATGCAGCAGGCTGGAGCTCTCCTCCTACAAATAAGTATTCAAAACTTGGTACATAATACACAACAATATAGGCTCTGATTGCTAATAGTATCCATGAAGTGTGATTCTCAGCAAAGTTCTCTCTTAAAAAAGGTTTGTGGCATGGCTTTATGCAAAACAAAGAGACATCATGTACCTAAATGTCCTAAAACATGACAGAAATCCTAGTTGGTCACATTCCACCTCGCTACTGGCTTTCATGCTGGTCACCTGATCTTTGCAGCAGGTGCACTAAGTAACAAAGTCGACGCTAATGGCCTGCCTCCACTCTGTCTTCAGATTGCAAGCCTGGTAAGAACACAGTAATGGTAAACGCCTCAGTGACTTGCTTGATTGAGTTACACCTTATCCCTGTCGAACAGAGGAGTGCTTCTCAACTCCTGAGTCTGGCTTCTGGACGGGGTCTTTATTCACCATGTTTAGGATAGAATCTCCCTCTGTGCAGTGACCCAGCTGCCCAAACAGACTGATGGCCCACTTTTACTTGAAACCTTCCCGTTGTCTCGCATCTGTTGTTGCTGACATTTACACTTGCAGAGGGGAATTCAGTCGAAATACATTCAGAATACTCCCACTTGTGGTTTCAAATGTGTATTTGTTTTAGTATAAAGAAAAAAAGAGGCTGATGATGCTTCCTTTTAGCACTACTACTCTGACTACCTGGTTCAAAATGATAATGATGATAATATCTATTATAAGTGTAGCAATTCCAGGTTTTGAATCTTGAAAATAAGAATGACCATTCCCTTGTTTTTCAGAATGACAGTTATACATCTACACAACAACAGCTGTTGGTTTATGGAGTTAAAGAACATTTGTAAAATCTACTTTCAGGTACTTGTTTGCTATAGAGGGAATCCTCTATTGGCATCACGTGTGAAATAATGTATAACTCACAAAGAACTTACATATCCTACATCCACTTCTATTAGTTCTCCTGCCTCGCTGACCTCAGTGCTGCAGCCACCTGGGAAACACTCTGATGAACTCTTTTCTCTTATTTTTTGAAGAAAGTCCGTTGCCGTCGATTTCCTCAGCAGTGCTATCACATAAATAGGTGACACAAGATGCATTAATTTCCCAGATAATAGCTGAAAGGTTGAAACATCAGCCATGCTGTGTCATAAAAGCATCTCACCTCCTTCGCAGATGTAGGGGATGATGAGCATCACAGTCAGCAGTGTTGCAGCCATGTCCTCGTGCAGACGCTCACACACTTGAGTGTTGTGCCCCCTTACAGATCCTGGCACTTTTTGTTTGTCACCTGAGTAATCCCCACGCCCACCACCGTCCCAGTATCATTCCCAAGGGGACTACAGGCATGTGAACCACCAGCACTGGGTTTTGAAGGCCTTATAGAAACCATGGAGAGAGCTGAGAAAAATGTTTCTGTGTTTGGAAAGTGCAAATTCTAAATAATAGCTTTCGGTTTGAAAAAACGTTAAAGGTCTAAAATGTAGAAACCTTCTGGGTTTTATGCTTTATATTACATATGATGATGGGCTATGATCACTATGGCTCACTGACAGGGCATCCAAACAACAGACAACAACTCAAACTGGCACTGCAACATTCAAGTTTAGATTGTGGTGTTCAAATACTGCAACTTTAAACAAAGAAATTATTTTAATTTTAATTAAATAATTATCCAAAGGGCCTCAGGTCAAATCTGTACTCAGTGCCTGTACATGTGTTAAAGGTTCTGCAAATCAGAATCACTCTTATTGGCCAGGTATGTGTACACATGATACAAGGAATTTGACTCTGGTTTTATATCAATGTACATACACAGAAGAAGCATATAATTGACAAGCTCAACAAAATAGATGTGTACAGATATACAAACTTTACAGTTTTTAGACAGTAAGACAATAAGCAAGACAACAGTGCAATGGAACAGAGTGCAAAGGATGCTGAAATAAATATTTTTGTGCAGGTATTTTTTATGTAGGCCTACATGAGGTAAGTGGATATGATACATGCAGTAAAATGAATAGCATGGATATTTGTGTTTTGCCTGCAATGGACTGGCGAAATGTCCAGGGTGTACCCCGCCTTTCGCCCGATGTCAGCTGGGATTGGCTCAAGCCCCCGCTAGCCTGTATGGATGGACGTAACAGCATTTGTAAGGACTGGCATCTATGAATCTTTAAAATGGAGACTGTACCGTAACGCTCAAGTAATTAAGGCCGTGATGCTTGATGTTGCTGCCACCTAGAAGTGTATTTGTTTTATCTCAAATGTACTATGAGTGCTTGCGCAGGATGCGTTGTTGTCATGGTTTTTGTACAGCCACCCACTAGAGTGACGTCTACTGAAGGTATTCAAACTTATATGATGAAAGTCCAATTCCTGTTCAGCTTAGTGAGCCAAATTATGTAACTAGATCAAGTACTAATATCTCACATGCCATGATAACTTAATATGATACATGTGTTCTAATAAATACATGTAGAAACACAACTAAATTAAAGCTGAAACCTACATAATTATGAGATAATTACAATTTCATTGCCTGTAATTAGGCCTATTAGTAAAACACATGAATCACTGAATGACACAGTGTTTTCATTTGGCTGTAAGTGCATAGGTTTGGTTGCTTACGCTGCGAAGGACAACGTTTCTATTTTTATTTTATTAATTATAATAGGGTGACCAGACGTCCCGAAAAATCCGATCCCAAATTACGAG